CTGGGATTTCTAGTTTTACAAAATCTTTAGTCTTCTCTGCTGAAGTGTGCTGATGGTTCACAAAACTACCAGTCCCAAGATTTTGTAGGATGGAGCCAAAGCACTTAAAGTGGCATCAAACAGCATTTTTTCTACAGTGTTGATGCACCCAGAGAGAATGATAGTTCTTCAGACTCTGGGCTCCAGCACTGTGCTAGCCTTCAGATACAGATAGCTGAAATTGTCCCTGAGTTCTCATTAAAAGAACCACCAACCAAAACAATGAAGGGAATATATCTCAGTAATTTATATAAAAAGAACAAAAACCACAGGTTCTTTATTTACATGCCATCAACTTTCAGATAACATTGCTCCAACCTAGCCATCCTTTTTGTATCAAAAGGAGATGGTAAGCATGCTGCTGATATTCCATGTGCTTGCAATTAGATTGTCTTCTTTTCATTAGACAAGACTAAATTTGTTACTCTAATTCCCAAAATTAATTTTAAACATGCCAGGCATTTCTAGGGATTATTGCTGCAGATAGATAATGAAGGAATTCATAGATGATCTTCTAGAAACTTTTCCACTTAGGCATACCCATCCTGAATTCTAGCCAACAATTTATTTTATCCAAAGTACTGAACCCTATCTCTTCCAATAGGTTTAGCACATTGGATGGTTCCTTTAGAGTTTGGACTAAAACCTAGAATGGATTCACTGCCCCACTAATATGGGAACCACTAGCTGCTATTGAGCACATCCTCACTCCATTTTAACTTATATATATGTAACTGTATGAAATTTTTTAAAGCATTCCACAGTAATATGAATAACATAGCATTGCTCTTTTTGTGCACAGAGAAAGAGGGAAGGAGTGTAAAACAGTCCAGATGATGAAAATATAAATTAACCTCAGAGATTTAAAAATATCACATCAAACAGTCATCTTTAGTAAAATAAATAAATAAATCTTATTGTTCATCACTTTTGTTGCCCTGCATTGCAAACTTAACCTTTTCCAAACGTTGTGCCCACTTCCAATGATTCCAAGAGCTTTTGGATGTCATTTCTTTGGCTTTTAGCTGACTAGGAAACTGTTTAAACAGCATCCTCACTTTAATACTGAAATACCCAGGGTTCCTTGAAGAGTGAATGGAGAAAGTGCTTGTGCACATAAAAACATCAGAGATGCTGATGGTCCCCACCTCTAAGCCTTCAGTTGTAATATTTTATATGAGAAGGGAAGTGCTCTGTCCATCCTCAGAGTCAACCCATTTATGTTATACTCATTTTTAAACATTTCAGACCTGAAGAATGGTCTTAAATAGTGAACCAAATTCAATGCAATGTTTTTCATATTCAGCTTGGGTTTATTTCTTTTTGGAGGGGAGCAACCAGGGAAGTAATTTAGTAGCTTTGTAGTGTAGCGGTGTTCCTCAGTGCTTTTTTATGGAAGTTAAGTTTCCATGTGAAGAGAAAATCAGGGAACAGATGGGGATGGATCATAGCTCAATAGTGGCATACATATTACTGCTGAGTGGGGTGGACCATAACTCAGGGTGCATCTTGTTGTTGAGTGCCTTCAAGTTGTTTCTGACTTATCATGGGGTTTTCTTGGCAATATTGGTTCAGAAGAGGCTTGCCATTGCCTTCCCCTGTGGCTGAGAGAATGTGATTTGCCAAAGTCACCCAGTGGGTATCATGGCCAAGTGGGGAATCAAACCCTGGTCTCCAGATCCTTAGTCCAACACTCAAACCACTAAGCCTCATTGGCTATACACTGTAGCAATAATGATAGCTCTTGAAGTCCTGTGGCTCCATCCTATGGAATGCTGGGATTTGTAGTTTTACCAGGTCTTTGGCCTGTCTCTGCCAAATAATGCTGGTGCCTTAAAAACAACAATTCCCAGGATCCTTATAGGATGGAGCCATGGCAGTTAAAATTGTCAAACTGCATTATTTCTACAGCGTAGATGCACCCTCAATGGTAGAGGGTACACTCTGTGTATAGAAAATCTCAAATCCTAGCATCTTCTTCTGTAGTTGGTGAAGACGTCTTGACACTTCAAACATGGCACCTCTTCCATCAGTCAAGATGGGGCTAGACAGATTGAATCAACCAAAGGTAGCTTCATCATCTCAGAAACTCTTGTGCTGAAACTTGAAATGATTCAGCAGTTGAACTTTCATGCCATCATCCATCCTACACTCAATCGTCTTGCTGACCTCTGTCACAAGTTTCCAGTGGTTGTTGTTCCATGCCCACAGGAATGCCTGCCACTGCTACCAAGTCTTTGGCCAGGTTCTTCTGAGACTGACTCCTTCGGCCGAGCCCATCAGATGCTCCCTCAAAAAACTGGGCAATGAAGTTGGCCCCTGATGTCTTAATGAGGTTCCCAGCTGCAAAGACATAAAGTACTGGGTTGATGCTACTGCTGAGGAATGCTAGTGCAGTGGCACCTGCTCGTCCACCCTTCCAAGCTTGCTCCAATTTTTCTGCAGTCCTTCCTGATGCCATGTTTGAAGCCACCTGGATCATGTTGACAATGTGGTAGGGCACCCAGAGGACAGCAAAGCAAATCACAATGGCAACAATGAGTTTCTCAGTCCGAGCCCCTTGCCTTCTCCGCACTCCCCTGAGGCGTATCAAAATGGCAGAATAACAACCAACAATGACAGTGAATGGTATCACAAAGGCCACCACTGTTTCCAAAGTGAAGTGGAAGATGGTCAGGCTTGGCCTGGAATGGCAGGGCTCACAGATTTTACGCCCCTGTAAGGGTTCCATCACAACCTCCCGGAATAGAAAGGCTGGGATGGACAACAAGATGGCTGCCAGCCAAATCCCTGACAGGATCTTGATGACCAAGTGCTTCTTGCGAATGGCTTGGGAGAAGTAAGGCGTGTTGACTGCAAGGCAGCGGTCCACACTCATGAGGGTGATGATAAAGATGCTGGCAAACATGTTGATGCAACACAAGTAGTATACCACTTTGCAAATGACCAAGCCAAACACCCAGTTCTTGAAGACGAGGAAGAGGACAAAGAAGGGGGTGAGGAGCAGCACAGTTCCATCAGCCATTGCCAAATTAAGGACCAGAAGGCCGGTGACTGAGCGTTGACTTGGCTTCATTTTCCATAGGATGCTCCAGATGACAAAGAGGTTCCCAGGAAGTCCAACGGTGGCAGCCAAGAGAAGAAAGATGATACCAGTAACACTGGAGGATGAGGAGCTGAGAAGGGTGCTGTTTCCTGAGGTATGGGTGCAGTCATTGGTGGTGGCGTTGGCCAGAAAGGATGGGGATGCCCTGTGAGGAAGAAGGAAGAAGAGGACCGTGAGACAGATGCTACTGAAATCTGTGCATATCCTTCAGTCAACCCTCCTGGTGTTTTCAGTGGAATATACCCCAGTCAAGACTTAGTGTCTAGTGTACATCCATCAAAACTGACACACCTTAATAACTCACTACTTGGTTTCAAACAATACTGATCTAGTTGATGTAGCTCAATGCACTGAATTTCAACCAATGCCTCTTTTGTTTCATCCCTTAGAGTTGAAATTTATGATGTAGGTTCTCTAGGGCAGAAACTAACGAATGTCAGATGAGCAAATATTAACTTCATGAAATGCCATTTTGTTGTTTTCACTATCATTTGTAAGTGCAGGGTCTTTCTCTGTATCCCCACCAATGAGTCAATACACTGTGTGAGGACATGGGAGAAGGCTTTGTCAGCGGTGGCACTTCAGTTGTGGAATGACCTCCCATTGAAGGCCAGATTGGTGCCTATAATGGCTTGATTTCACCAGCAAGTAAAAACATATGTCTTAAAGCCCTTGGGGTCCTATATAATATTACAAAATTACATAATTCCCATGCACCTAGTTCTTAAGTCCTTTTAATTTTTATAACCTGTTTTGACTTCTTTAGAATGTTTTTAATCTGTTTAATTTGTGGGGTTTTTTTTGTTTGTTTTTGTGTGTGTCTGTGTGTCTGTGTGTGTTCTAGATTATTTTAATCAGCTTAAATCAATTTTTACTTGTATCACTCCCTGAGATCTCATCATATAGACTGGGATATATAAATATTATAATTAATTAATAATTCTATATTATTACAAAGTAACATCAAGAAGACAGTTCCCTGAAGATTTTGCATGTACAGTGGGCACTTGGTATTCATGAGGTTTGGTTCCAGGACCCCCTGTAAATACCAAAATCCATGGCTGCTCAAATCCCATTATATATAGGAGGGTAGCAAAATGGTGTCCCTTATATAAAATGGGGAAATCAAGGTTTCCTTGTTAGAATTTATATGTATTTTAAAAATAACTTAAATCCCTGGATAATTGAATCTGTGGATAAGAAATCTATGGATATGGAGGCCAACTGTAATTGAAAATTTGACACACCTGTGACAAAAAAAGCAGAAGAAGATTATCAAGACTGGGATGGAAAACCTCAGAGAGTCTGAGGACCAACTCACCGACCCCCAAAAAATCACTATGTGCTCCACCTCTTGGCTGTACTCTTAATTAAAAACAACCACAAAAGTATTATACATAGGTTGTGCTGAGAGTGTGCACCTTAATCCAAAAGGAGAACCCTGCTTTTAAAGATGCAGCTTTCCATGCTTTAATGAAAAATTATACAGTGGGCCCTTGATATCCACTGGGATTTGATTCCAGGACCCCTTGTGCATACCAAAATCCATGGAAACTCTAATCCCATTATATACAATAGTTTTAAAATGGCAAAATCAAGGTTTACTCTTTGGATTTTTTAAAAAAACCATTTTCAAGCTGTTGTTGGTTAGATCTGTGAATGCAGAATCTGTGGATATGGAGGGACATTTGGATGCATGTTTTTTATATTGCCATTGCTTCTCTACGATTGAAGTTTGGAAATGGTGGATTGGGGGGGGAGTGGAAACAAAAAAAAAATGGATAGAGGGCAACACATAGTTCACCAGCTGCATATTGTTCAGCCTGATCTAGACAATTAGCACAACACATAGGAAGATAAAGGAAACTCAGCTGCAATAGATCAAGGCTCATGGGCCACTGGCTTTTCAGGTCTTCTTAGAGTGCAAGTCCCATGAGCCCTAACCAATATAACTGATGATATAGCATTGCCAAAAAAGTCTGGAACATCACAGTTACTCATCACTGGGCTTCGCAGTCCAGCATCCTGATTTCCACACTTTCAACCAGAGTCTTTGGAAGTCTCAAAGGAAGACATTAGACCAGTGGTTCTCAACCTGTGGTCCTCCCAATGTTTTGGACTCCAGTTCCCAGAATTTCTGAGACCTCTGGTAATTGAAGTCCAAAACACCTGTTGGACCACATCCAGAACACCTGGAGTAGTTGTGAACTACCACATTAGACTGTTCTTTTGATTATCTTGGAGCAAATGATGAGATTACTTATACCTGGAGGCTTAGCTTGACCACTGTGGCTAATAGCCATGATCACTTCAGACTGAGGCATATGCAACTGTACCAGTCCCTTCCTATCAGCATCTCTCTCTTCTACTCAGGTAGTCCCTGCTCAATGAGGCAAGCTGTAGCATAGAGGAATCCCTGAAGATCAGGTAATTCACAAAAGGCTGATCCTGGACCCTACTCCATAAATTTCCCTCATCCTTTTAAAAGCCACTTGAGGTAATGATCACCAGCATATCTTCTGGCAGCAGGTTCCATTAATTCTGAAGGCACTATCTGGTGCAGCACATCATCTCTCTCTCTTTTGAATCTCTACTCCTGAGTTCCATCCAATGATGTTCTGTGTGTGAGAGAGATAAAATCTACTCTCTTCATTCTCCCCACAAGGTGCATATAATGTTTTCCATCTAGGTCATGTCTCTTCCAGCTCCCTGATTCATGATCTTTCATCAGAATCAAAAACACTGTAGCCTTTCCTCACACTGAAGATACTCCAACTCTTTCCACCCTGATTATTTTAGTTATCCTTTGCTTTCATGTTCTGCAATGCCTTTTTGAAATATGTCAACCAAAACTATACATGGTATTCCTAGTGGGACTGCTCCCAAAGTTAGAGACCTTATGACTCAGGTTGCTTAATTCTCTTATCGCTTTCTTAGCAATACCTGGCATTTTCCAATAGAATTTTCCCATGGAAAGAAATGTCAGAACCAATGTCCCTCCCTCCCTTCTTTGAAATGAAAATAGTGCATTTTTAAGAAATAATGAGAAGTTATTGCAGCAAAGGTGAGGATGGGAAAGGAGGAGGAGGAAGTGGGGAGAAGGTGAGGATGATGGTGATGATGATGATGACAGCAAATTAGTGCCAAAGCATTTATTTTGTGCATTTCATATGATAGATGGATGGGCAGGAGAATGGCTAGATTGAGAGAAGGAAAGAGGAGGACAAATGCAGAGGGAGACTGAGAAGGAAGGAAGCAGCAAGCAGATATCCTGGGTCATCTCCATTCTACTAACCCTCTTTTCTCCAAACCCTCAAGCTGGTTCCAGTCCACCCCAGAGCTAGGATGCTCCCAACAAACCTCCTTTATCTCATCTCACCCCCCCCCCCATGTGAACTATGGCCAATTGGTCTTCCAGTTCAGTTTAGTTTTTAAAAAATATTTTTATTGCTTTTCACATATAATTACACATTCATTTAATTATTTACAAACATATTTGATTCTATTCCTGTTACTAACTATATAGATTCCTATCTATTACAACATTTGTACACTCTCCCCCCTGACTTCCTCCCCCCATTAGATTTCTAAATCTTCTTTCTATTGGCTTT